TGAGTTATGTTATAGAAATCTTTGTCATTTTATTCAGTTTATTTAACGTTAGTTTAGTGAAGTCGTATTTTTTTCCTTATTAAAATAGTTTCAATTTAATATTGTATGATAATATTATATTTATATTATATTACAAATTTAAATTGAAACTTATATTTTTTAGATAGACTTAAGTTTTCACGCTGTAACTGACAACGCTTTTTTTTTTTTTTCTTTACAATTTGATGACGGCTGTTTTGATGTTTTAACAATTTAAGTGCAATAAAAAAATCGTTACATTATAAATAACTTTTAACTATTGATCTTTTTTTTTTTGTCAAGTTTTTTATTTTTAACAATCGATCTTTTTTTTTTATGATAAATTTAAACGTTTGAAACTATTTTTTCATGTCTTTCTTAAAATCTTTTAAAAGATTAACTTTTTATGTTACTTTAAATTAAATCTTCATGATTTAATTGCTTTATTTTTTTGTTTTTGTTTTTATTTTTACAAGAATTGTTTAGAAGTTTATTTTTCCAACTTAGCATACTAAATAAAGTATGGAATGATTAAAAATTACGATTTTAAAAAGACTATGTTATTTTTTTTATAAAATTTTTTTTTTCAACTTTTTGAAAAAAATGTTTTTTCTACATAAAAGTATTATATATTTTTCTTTTCCATAATTTAGTTTAACTTTTCAATAACTTAAATAAAATTTGTTCATTTATATATCAATAATTGTCAATCAATAAAAGTAACAGCTTTTTATAGTTTTATTTTAAAGTTTTATAGTTTTATTTTAAAGCTAGTTTGTTTTCTTTTTGTAAGGAATTGTTTTGCTTATTCTTTAGTTTTTCTAATTTTTTCCTATTTTTATTTTAGCTTAACATTTCTTTTTTCAGCGCATTTCTGAAACATTTAAATCATCAAAACATCTAAACAGTCGTGGTCCAGTTGTAAAAAAAAATCATTTGCGTAGTAAGGAATAGCGTTCGATCGCGCACTGTTTGCGCACTCCAAGCTTTATTTTGTAGAATTTAATTCCTGTCAGCCAAAATGTCCAATTTTTTTGTAAATTGATATATATATATATATATTAAATGACCGAAGTCGATATTTGACCAGGGTCAGGACAGATTTTAATAAAATATAGCAGGGGCTGGGTTTGTGACCAGGGCTTCATAAAAATCTATACATCGTAAAGTATATTTTTTTATTCAAAATTCATGTTACATTTTGATTATATATGTATATATAAACATTATCATCAACATGATTTTCATAATGATAATCATCATCATCATCTTCATCATTATCATCATCATCATCATCATTATCATCATCATCATCATCATCATCATCATCATCATCATCATCATCATCATCATTGTCATCATCAACAGCATAAAGAAGGAAGGCTAAAGCCTGATGATCATGATCATAATGATGATCATTATCATCATCACGCTTTAGCCTTCCTCTTTTATGCTGTTTCTCTGATATAAACAATCTAGAGCATTTAGTTAATTCTTAACTAAAGCTCATTCATACAATATCTCTTCAAGTCTTTTTATTTCTACCACTATCATTTTCTACTCAAGATGCTGCCTCTCTACATGCTGATACCTAAATTACTTTAATTTTTTCTAACAAGCACTGTTCAATACAATGTTTTTTCTTATCTGTCTCAGATTATGCCTCCTTTTCTTGTCTTGCTAGAATCACACCATGCATCCATCTATATACTATACCATATAAATACTAAAGTTTATATAAATATGAAAGGATATTTTATGCCAGCATCTAAATAAATAGCAAACACTAATGTTTATGTCCATAATATGTATGCATATAATAAAGCGCATCTCAGAAGCTTTTATTCCTTCTGGACTGAAAGTTTGGAAGCTTTTATTCCTACTCTTTAATTTTAAGTAAATCCTTATTCTACTCCATATTTTTCACCATCTTGAGCAGTTGCTTTATTGATCATTTATTTCATCTTTATTACAAAACATCTCTTTTAAGAACAAATGTCCTTTTATTAATCCAACAAGCCAAAGTAAAAAAGGTTTTGTCTAATGTTAAGCTCTGTTATTCTCAGTTTACTAAATCTTGTATCTTATATCAGATGTTTGGTTCTAGAGACTTTTGGTTAGTCATCAACAGTGTCATTAACTAAAGTAAGTTTAACATTCAATCTTATTAATTATATAATATTTAATATTTAATTTTTAAAAAGTGCCTAATAAGTGGTTCCATTTTGTCAAAACTCTAGAAAACGCTTTGACCTCTCCAACTGTCGTACGATTAGTCTTCACTCTGTTATTAGTTTTTTTATATAAAGGTTTTGAGATTATTAAATTATTTCTTACTAACTGCAGTAATAAAGTTATTCTTGAAGGTCTACACTCCTTTTTATTTCAAGTAACTTTTTTTATTTCAAGTAAATTTCTTTATTTTACAAAATTAGGTATTTTGTGGTACCCTTATATCTTTGCCTCCTGTATTGTTTCTTATCTACAATATTAATCTTCATGAAAATTTAACATCTAAAGTGGCTCTATTTGTTGACGACTCAACTTTATGCTCTTGTCTTGACAAAAAATCTTTTTGATTGCTTAGAACAAGCAGCTGATTTTTAATCTGATCTCTCTTCTGTAACAGCTTTGGCTGTTACAGAAGGTTGTGTTACAACAGGTTGTGGCTTATGTAAGGCTTGTTGTGGCTTATGTAAGGCTTGTTGTGGCTTATGTAAGGCTTGTTGTGGCTTATGTAAGGCTTGTTGTGGCTTATGTAAGGCTTGTTGTGGCTTATGTAAGGCTTGTTGTGGCTTATGGATTTTAATTCTGGATTTAAAATCTGCAATTTTTGTTATACAACAAAACTCATTTATATAATAAATAGTTAAAATAAATTAAGCATATAATAAATAGTAAATGTAAGCATAAAATTATAATATGTAAAGTATTATAATTTTTTTTAGCCCCGCTTAAATCAACCCCTACTAAATCTTATAGTTTAGCCAGGGCCAGGTTTCATAAAAGTCTCATTTTTAGCCAGGGCCGGGGCCCTGGTTACTTACTATTTATATATATATAGATAGTATATATTAGTTGTTTATTATGGATTTCTTTTATTTCTTTTATTTTAATTTCTTTTCTTTTATATTTTTGTTAGAGTAGATGGTTGTAATAGTCGTAGCTTATTAAAAATAATAAAAATATTATAAAATTATAAAAAAAAAATATTTTTTATAATTATAATTATTAAAATATGTAGGTACCGTGTGTGATTTCAGACTGTCGTACGGCAGAGTGTTAAATAAAAAAGCAAATATTGTTGCTGTTAATCGCAATGATGAGCAATTGTTTAAGAACTCTAAAATATTTTGGAACCCAGCTCTTGCTGTGCAAGCAGATCCTGCAACATTTGTTACTAGTTTATGCGCAATGAAACAAAAAAACTTAGAGTGGAATGATTGGTGCACATTGTTAAAAGATCGCGATGAAGAAAAAGAAAGATCTAACAAGGAAAAAGGACATTCCTTAAAACTAACAGATAGGTAACTTTTGTTTCGTTTCCGTAAGAATATGTAATTTTATTTCGTTTCTGTAACAATATGTTATTTTGTTTCGTTTCTATAAGAATATGTCATTTCTTTTGCGTTTTTTTTTTTTTTTTTTTTTTTTTGTAGTAGTCTGATCAATCCTTTGAATTTATTACACGAATTGGAAGATGTCTTGGATGATAACAGTATTATTGTTGCAGACGGTGGAGATTTTGTAGGAACGGCGGCATACATATTAAGGTTTCTATACACTATTCACACTTTTTTTTAACTTGCACAATTATACGGCATGCAAAGCTTCAGGGATTATCTTTTTCCGGATATTTCCGGAATTTCGGATATTTTTTTCAACTTTTAGTTTTTCCGGATATCCAAAACATTTTCAATACATGCAAGTTTAGGTATATATTTTCGTAATATATTTTTTATTAAGCTTTTTCACTCATTACTCATAGAAAAATTATGAAAAGTGTAAAAAAAAGTTAGAAACAGCTTAGCTAAAATCGAAATTAAAAAGAAAATAAGAGAAAACAAATTCCGGATATTTTATCAAAACAAATTTCCGGATTTTTAAAATATGACTAGGATGATCTATGAAAGCTTAAAACAAATGACCTTAGTTTGATAAGTTTTTTTATTTCTTAGTAATTGCAAAATTAGGTGCTCATTAGCAAATAAATTAACCATGTATCATATCATCCAATTCACTTTGTGATATTTTTTGTTTTACATTTTTTTAAAAACTAAATGGCTGTTTACTACATTTTAGACCACGTGCCCCTCTATCTTGGTTGGATCCTGGCGCATTTGGAACTCTTGGTGTGGGAGCAGGTTTTGCACTAGGAGCTAAATTAGTTCGTCCTAACGCCGAAGTATGGATTTTGTGGGGTGATGGTTCATGCGCTTATAGTTTAGCCGAGTTTGATACCTTCACTAGATTTAAGGTTATTTTCATTAGATTTATTTTAAAAATTCTATGAGTTTCATTTTTTTTTTGAATAATTGTATTTTGTAAATGGTAAATTTTAGATACCAATAATTGGGTTGATTGGGAATGATGCATGCTGGTCTCAAATTGCGAGAGAGCAAGTACCAATGTTTAACAGTGCAATTGGTTGTCAACTTGCGGTAGATTGTGTTTTTATCTAAAAGTTTGAGTTAAAAAGTTTTTATAAAAAGTTTTATATATATTTAACTTGTTTGTTTAGTATTCTGCTTACGATCAAGTTGCAGAAGGTTACGGGGGTGTTGGTTTAAAAATCAATGATGCTGATTTAAAAAAGGTTCGTTTAACACTTCTAGATGCTAAAAGAATTGCATCACTCGGCAAACCTGTTGTTATAAATGCTTTAATAGGGAAAAGTGACTTTAGAGCTGGATCTATTTCTGTTTAATAAAATGTTCGTTTTTTTATAATTGTAATGAAGTTTTGACGAATTCTTTTTTTAAGTCTCTTATTTTTAAGTTTCTTAAAAATCTTTTATAAAATTCTTTTAATTTCTATTTAATTTATTCTTATTTTTATAATATTTAATATAATCAAAAAGTTTAACTAAAAAAAGATATTGTAAACAAACAAAAAGTGTAGTAGATAAACATTTTAAATGTTACAATGTATATTATATATATATATATATATATATATATATATATATATATATATATATATATATATATATATATATATATATATATATATATATATATATATATATATATATATATATAAACTCAATTATGTGGTTTTAAAGTTTTTTTTAGGCGCAACAACCAGCAAAATGTGCGCGTTGTTGTCATTATTATGACACGGTAATAATGTCATTATTACCGGGCCTCTTCTTCCCTTTCGATAAAAATAATGATTGAAAATTACCTTCAATATAAACTTTTTTTTTTTTAAATTTATGTCATCAATTATTACAGGGGTAATAATTAGTACACAAAATATTTTCTAAAAATTAAAGAAAAAAAAATAATTTTTGATATTTAGCATATTTGATAGACAATTAAATGTAGATTAATAATACAAAAAGTTTGTTCTTAGCTTATTTTTTTAAATTTTTCAATAAACTAACTAAGAAAAATTTATATAACAATGACAATATTTAATCTTCTTTTGCATTTTTCTCTGTTATAGAATTTAGCTTGTTAAGATATATTGTTAAGCAGAAGTGCAAATCTCTTCAAATTTTGAGAAAATGTTTATGTATTATAAACATTTTCTGAAAGTAGACTAGAAAGTTCTGGCACAGTAAAATTGCTATAAAAACGATTAAATTTAAAAAAGGCGAATAAGATTAAAAATAAACTTTATTCTAACAATCACATTACAACATTAGATTTCGAAATTACCGCCTTTAGCTTTGATACAGGCCCTAATTTTTTTGGGGATATCATTGACTGCGGCGCGCAGGTATTCTGCAGAAAGATTACTCTATTCCTTCTGAAGTACTCGGCGCAAAGAGTCTAAATTCCTATGAGAATTAGAACATGTTTTGGTCTTCAAAACTGACCACACGGAATAATCCAAGGGCATGAGATCTGGCGATTAGGGAAGCCTTTTTTTAGGCGCTGATAAAATCTGGAAAAGTGTGTACTATCTGTACCTAAGTGTGATTGGCACCATGGAAGTACTTCTTTTTTAAGGACATCATTTAAATAATTTTGAGTGTTAACTTTAACTCCAGAATCCACAAAGCTAATGGAGTTTTGCCATCTGAAGTTATCCCTCTAAAAACCATAACGGATTGCGGACGTCCTTAACGAGAAGCTATTCTACCCTTCATGTTTGCATCACTAATACTTCTGGACAATATCCGATCATTTCGATAATTTAAGAAAGCTTCAACATTGAATAAACATTCATCAGTGAAAACAATTCCTGAGTGGCGCGCCGAAGAAAAACGTTTGAACAAAAGCTTTCCATTCTTACTTTCTTCATATTGTCTGTGAGAAGATGATTTTTTTGGATCTTGTATGGGATAAGTTTTAGCTTATCTTTGCATATTTTTCTCAGGGATTCACGACCTATTTGCAAATCATTTGCCATTTTTCTTATCGACCTCCTTGGATTTCGACGAATTCTATCATGCACTTTTTTGATAATAATTTTGCTACTTGATGTCTTCCACTTCTAGGTTTGTCTTGGGTGCTGCCTGTCTCCTTTAAACGTTTCATATTATTATAGACAGTTCTTCGAAGAATTTTAAGTCTTTTTGCTATCTCTGCTCCAGTGCATCCACTAAAGAACAAATGCTCTATAGAAACTCGATGGTCTTTTGTAACTTTCATACTTTTTTTTTTTTTTTTTTTTTTGCCGCAAGCTTTCTTCGTGAACAGACGTGTTTTTACTGCATAAGAATTTTCTTTAAAAAATAAAAATAATAATAATGAAAGTTTATTAATTTTAGTTTTTAGTATTTAATTATCTTTATAACCGGAATTATTCTTCAAATTTATCAAACTATCTTCAAAAATTTTGCAACACCCATTTTTATAAAAAAATAGAAGTTACAATGAAAAATATTGAACGACTTATAACAACAAAACTCGAAGAACAAAAGAAATTTATTCTCAAAGAAACTGACAAACTTCTAAAAAACCAAGAAACAACATTTACAAATATTATAAGCTCAAATCTGAAAATTATCACGGATAGGCTTGATAAACTTGAACGCGAAATTAACACCAACAAATCAAAAACTTCAACCTTAGAAAAAAACTTTAGAGATATCAAAGAAACCTTTAACCTCCAAGAGGAAAACTTCACAAACAAACTAGCACAAATGAGCTAAAAGTGTAATGATGAAATTAGTATATTAAAAAAGAAGACTATAGATTTGGAAAACAGATCACGTCGTAACAATCTAAGAATTGACGGAGTATCCGAATCTAACTCTGAAACATGGAATGACTGTGTTAGCATAGTAAAAAATATCTTTAAAAACCAATTAGGAATTGCAGAGGACATAGTAGTTGAGAGAGCCCATCGAGTAGGACAAGTAAAAGAAGACAAGCCGCGAACGATAATTCTCAAACTTTTAAATTTTCATGAAAAAAGCAAAATATTATCTTTAAAAGAAGAAAAGAAGGTAAATTTGCAATTATCAAATATGATAAAATTTTTGTACGAGAGTTTCGGAAATAAGTTGAATGTTTAACCTTAATTTTATGAAAATAAAGTCTTAATCATGCGCAATGGCTTACAAAACAATTGACTTTGAAACCAAACAATTAAATTTTTCTAAAACTGATAACAACATTTTACTTAACGACTTTTATGACGCAGATAAACAGGTTTTTAAAGAATTAGATTTTAATTTGCAATACTATGACACTAAAAGTTTTAAAACACTATTAAAAATATATATAAAAAATTTCACGGTGATACACATCAATATTAGAAGTTTAAGTTTAAATATAGACAAACTAAAACACTTTCTTTTAGAATCCAATTTTTTATTTAACATTATTTGTCTCACAGAATCATGGTGTGATGATGAGTAGGCTCAAAAAAATTTAAATTTTCAGATTCCTAATTATAAAATAATTTCATCTCAAAGAAAAACGCTCAAAAGAGGAAGCGGAATTTAAGTTTACATTCGTAATGACCACGGTATCAAAATTAGAAAAGACCTCTCGATCTCTAATTCAGACAGTGATGTCCTAACAATTGAGATAATAATAAAAAATACAAAAAACGTTGTAGTTTCTACTTGTTATAGACCACCCGACGGCGATGTTATTCAGTTTTCAAATTATATGCAACAAATTTTAATCAAAAGCAATAATGAACAAAAAAGATTATTCTACATCGGTGACATCAACATAGATAGTTTAAAGTACAATGAACACCCTAATACTAAAATCTTTTTTGACAATATATTTCAACAAGGCATAATTCCAATCATTAACAAACCAACTCGTGTTACAACAACTTCCATTAGTGCTATAGATAATATTCTAACTAACTCTTTTCTAGATAAGTCTATTAAAACAGGAATAATTAAAACTGATATTTCGGATCATTTTCCCATTTTCTTTTCTTTTGCTGAACATGCAACCATAAATGATAGTTCTAAAATCAAAGTCTTGAAACGAAAAATGAATGAACATTCTATGCTTAAATTTAAAGAATCTTTATCAACTATAAATTGGATAAATGTATACCAAGAATGTAACCTTGGACACAAATTCTGCTTATAATCTATTTCTCGACATCTTTCTTGAATATTATAACAAACATTTTCCAATACAAGAAATAGAAGTCAAAACAAAATATTTAAAATGTCCTTGGATTACACGCGGAATAAGAAAATTTTCAAAAAAAAAGCAAAAATTATACATCAAATATTTAAAAAACAGAAACGAAGCTAATCTTAATGCCTATAAAAAATATAAAAATCTGTTTGAAAAAATAAATAATAAATCTAAAAAAAGATATTATTCTCAACAATTAAAAAATAATAATGGTAACATAAAGAAAACGTGGGAAGTTATGAAAGAAATCATTGGTAAAAATAAAATAGTATCTGACATTTTACCCTCCAGAATAACGGAGCACGATATTGAATACAAAAACAAAAAAGATATATCAGAAATATTTAATCATTTTTTTGTAAACACTGGTCTAAACCTGGGATCAAAAATAAAAGGCTCAGAAACATCGTTTCAAAATTATTTTAGCGATTTTGAAAGCTCATTGCCAGATAGTAATTTAACTTTTGATGAACTAGAAACAACAATCAAATCAATCAAAAAGAATAAGGCCCCAGGTATTGATGACATCTCTGGCAATGTTGTGCTTTATATTTTTTCTATAATAAGAAAGCCTATTTTTAATATCTTCAGCTCTTCAATCAAAAACGGGATTGTCCCAGACAAATTAAAAATTGCAAAAATTGTACCTATATTTAAAGGTGGAGATACATCTGCAATTAGCAATTATAGAACAATCTCAATTCTTCTTATATTTTCTAAACTCCTTGAAAGAATAATTTACAACAAACTGTATAAATATTTAATAGAACACAAAATCTTAAGTGAAAATCAATACGGTATTCAAACGCAACATTCAACAGAACATGCTATCTCATTAATAACATTACAACTTCATTTAATGATAGAAAATTTGTATTAGGAGTCTTTATTGATCTTACAAAGGCGTTTGACACAGTAGACCACACAATACTACTAAGAAAAATGGAAAAATATGGCATAAAAAATCAAACTATAAAATGGTTCGCCAACTACCTAGACAACAGACAACAATGTGTTACCATAGATCACTATAACAACTCGAAACAACTAAAAATCAGATGTGGGGTTCCTCAAGGATCTATTCTAGCTCCTCTTCTATTTTTAATTTATGTCAACGACCTCCCTGAAGTCTCATCTAAGTTAGATTGCAAAATTTTTGCAGACGACACTAATCTGTTTTATTCTTCTAG